TCAAGATCAGTTTAAAAAAAAAAGAAAGTTAAAGTTAAAACACACTCCATTTGTCCCATGTAACATCGTCTGTGCTGTTGTTACACTTGTAACATGGGAAAAAACACAACGGGGCAGAAGAGCTGGTTAAAACTGGTCTGGTTTAACTTTTCTTTTTAAACGTTGTTTAAAAAGATCAATTTATAGTAAAGTGTTTCACACAGACGCACACACACACACACAGCAGTGTTTGCATATTCTGTGCTAATTGCTGTAGGCAATCCAGGCAATTAGGAAAAACTACACACATCTGTCAGTGTAATCAGTGAGTCTGCTCACGCCGCCGCACTTAGAGCAGAAATATCCTGCTGCTGCATCACTGTCACTTTTTTTATAATGATTTTTTTCCTCTCTCCAAAGCAACACAAACAACACACCTACACAAACACAAACACAAACACATCCAACTGCACAGCCCTGCGTACACACACACACACACACACACACACACAGAGTCTGACTGACAGAGGTTTCCCAGTAGGGTCAGAGTCTACAGGGAGCTGCTGGATAGCAGGCATGTCTTAATGAGGCTCGTCAGGCTCTCTGCACATCACACACACACACACACACACACATCACACACACACACACACACACACACCAGCACAGTCTCTGGTCCACCTCCTCTTGTTGCATCCTTCTCTTCGGCCGTCCATATTTCTTCTTCTTCTTCATCACCTTTCGTTCCCTCCCACTTCCTCACTTCCTGCCGCCCGTCGTGCATCATCCCCACCCACAGCCTTCTCCTCCTTCTACTGCGGACTCATTTTCCTCCGTCTTTCTCAGACCATCTATTCAGTCCTTCACCTCACTGTCTTTGACTCCTTCTCAATCCAAGAATCCTCAATCAAGACTTCCTCTGTGGTGGATTCTCTGTCATAGTCAAAGTCATAAATTCATATTTCTAGTGAGCAACTTAATGAAGGCTGTCTGGAATGCCAACATACACTCTGGGTGATTTATATTGAATTGCCTTATGGGGAGCTAGTGTTACGGTTTTATGTGAAATAGTGGTTTTTGAATTTACCACGTTCCCCTGTTTCCAATTTATGTCCTTATATATCACCTCTGCTACGAGACTGGGCTTTAAAAACACCAGATTCAAGTTTGATTTTACAATTACCACCAAATACAGCGAAGGGCAGCCATTCATGGTTTCCATTTTTGTGTCGGGAAATGTATATATTTCCTCCATCCTTCTCCTCTCCTTCTTTCTCCTCCATCCTCCTTGGAGGTCGTTGAATGAGCAGCTCAGGGGGAGGAAAAAAAAAACTGTCGAGGCTGCAGGAATCTTCCTGAACGGCTTAATCTGTGGAGTCTTTGGGCGCTGATAGCCTCCTGTGCACTATTCCCTCCGTAGGCTTTCCAACAATGAGTGTCTGTCTGCAGAGCGGCAGAAGATAAAGAGATGTGTGTCAGTATCTGTGTGTGTGAGTGTGTATGTGTGTGTGTGTGTGCGGCTGTCTGTCTGCATCTGTCAATCTTTGCCGTCCTCCATATATATCTATTTTTAGCCTTTCAGGTAGCTATTTTTTTACACCTACGTCAAGGTTTGTGATTGACAGGCCCTCTGTGTGTGCGCGTGCGTCCATGTGTGGTTTGAGCACACATGCTGGTGTGCAGTATCTGGACTGGTCCGAGCATGTATGTGAGTAAACAGTGTTTTTTCAGCGTGAAGTTTGACGTGTTTGTAATCCACACAAACGTCCACGCACCTGCGGCCAACGCCACTCTTTATATAATAAAGATAATAACTGGAACTAACTTGTAACTCATTGTGTGTGTGTGTGTGGGGGGGGGGAGGCAGAGGGGGGTGCGTCCACTTCTCCAGCTACATAGTGAGGAAACCATCTCTGCTCTATCAAATGTCAGAGAATCTTAAGTGTGGCTTTTAAGCACAATAGATGGTGGAAATGTCAGCACTTGAAGGGTCTATTACACTTTAGGCCTTTGGTGCTGTGAGTGTGTGTGTGAGTGTGTGTGTGTGTGTGTTTTCTTGTGCTCTTCTTCCTCCTCTTTTATTGATGCTTTCAAAGAAATTTGAAAGAAACAGACAGGAGCATCAACCCATTTCTGTCATGAAGTGATCCAGCTCAGACGCTGAGTGCTGAAGCCCACCATTTCTTCATGCATTGTTAATGACAGCCTCGCACAAGCCCCAGTTTGTTTCCTGATGTTTTCTCAACCTCCTTCTTCAGGATCACATGTCGCACATGTGCGTTTGTATAAAGGGGGAGACGAACCACACACACATGTGTGAGCTCGTGTTTCCGAACCAAAATAACATGACTTATTTACTTGTCTACAAGCATGCACGTCAACGTCAGAGAAACAGGCTAGGAACCGCCGCTAACATCTGTCCTGAGTTCCACAGCATGATCACATGTGAACTCTTTGATGTCGACTTTAGAGAACTAGACATCGATTCACCAGCGGTGTGAATATTCTGCTGTGTTCTACAAATGCATTATCACAGTCCATTTGCATGCTGTGACTTACTGTGTGAAGACAGTGTGTCAGAGGACATCAGCAGGGGAGGACGTCTTCCGTGTATCCTGGGGACATCCATGAGGGTCGAGCAGGTCCAGAAATATGGACACAAATAATATTCAACTGATTCCATGAAGGGTTTGGATATGAACGACGGTTGAGGTCTGAGGCTAAAGGAGTTGGAGAGTTAAAGGTTGAGAGTAAAATCACACGTTCGAGTCATGTGTCCTTGAAATTATGGAGCCAAAAGTGACGATCATTGCTGTTAGTCCCAAGCTGTCAACACAAGGTGGTCCACAAAGGACATGGGAGTGGGAGTTGCCCTGAAGTAACTCTGAATTTAGTTTACGTTCCAACCAAAAGCATCTTGAAGATCTTTGAATGTTAACTGTTCTCCTGTTGACTGGTACAAACTGGAAAGGCCTGATATTGGCCACCAGGAGCGCTTTTGGACAAGCGGTCAAAAGATGTCTAGTCATTCTGCTTCGTCATAAACTTTGTAGACATTGACCTGATGATCTGGATTCGTCGCTAAATGAACCTTCAGGGTCTTGACAAAGATCAAAAACTGAAACTTTTCCCAAAGTTCATTTTATAGATGTTTGGTTTGGAAATCAGAAGGTCTGGAATTGAACTCTACTTATGATCAGACCCGTCTCAGTGGAATTACATCTGATTCTGAGGTCCTCTATTCAGTAGTTGATCTCAAGATGTGGATATATCGACTGTGTTGCTTCTCCATTGCCAAGTTTTTTTTCAAAGAAAAAAAAATAGCATCAATTTCTACAAACAAAAACTATATTTTTCTCCCTCTGTGTTGCCGCCTCCATATTTGGCCCCAGTTCACCAGCTGCAATATTGAAAAAACGTCGGCCCTGCTTCTCCGTGAGTTTGATATTACAGTTCATTACATTTAGAGATCCCGGTGGTGCAGCAGCCACTGTACGTGCACCTACGTATGTATGAGTGTGATGTAGGTGGAGCCGTTGTCATGGGGAACACGTTTTGGCCTCCTCCGCGCCGCAAAGAACAGTAATAAACACCGACATTGCAAACATATTGCAATGTGAGAGCAATAACAGGACCATTGTTGCCTGTGTGTGCGGCGTGTGTGTGTGTGATATGCCATTCAGGGAGCGAACGGAATACACACATACATGCTTTGTATGTGCATACGAGTTCATGTGTTTAGGGCAGTTTGTGGGAGATAACTGCAGTAGCCATCAGCGCGTTAGCAGAGAAAGGGCCCTTTGTTGGCACATTAGCTGCTCATTACAGATTCGGGGTGAACCCCGAACCCCAGTAGACGGGTCGTCTGCATGTCACTTCCTGTCAGACTGTTTCTGAGCAATGCCATTGGCAGGCTATTGTTCCTGGGAGAGAGCGATAGGATCGGGGAATGTGTCCTAATGTTTGCAGATTGGCTTGCCAGAGCAACAATTACTCTTGGAGAACGCTCCCAACGGGAGCGTAGAGAGATAAGAGCCTGGGTGTGGAGGAGGGTGAAAAGGCTCTCTGAGTGTGTGTGTGTGTGTGTGTGTGTGTGCGTGGATGCTGCAGTGATCATCTTTTATTGTTTTGGTAGCTTATCCATGTGCTCCCACTCCCATTTAAAAATCCACAATGGAGAAGTTCATTTTTTTTCAATTTCCTCCTAACTGATGTCCTAAATTGCTTTCTTTGTTTTACTGTTCATTTGTTGCTCGTTACGTCTTCATACACAGGAACAGGCTAAAGCTGAGGAGAGTGTCCTCCGAGCTGCGGCGCGAAAAATCGTTGCATGTTTTTTTAATCTTTATTCTGAAGCTTAATGATCAACAATAAAATGTAAAATGAATGTGGACGCTTTAGATCAAGAGAGGCCAGTTTAATTCCAGTTACAGCTTCCACACTGACACGCTCCGTTATAGCTGGAACAGAGACTACATTTGTTTATCAGGTTTGATGATCAAAATGAGGAACATCTGCCAAGATGTTGGTCATGGACACCTGAGATTTGCAAAATTAAATGAAGACACCGTATCATCTACAGTTTAAAGATCCAGGTGAAAAGCCAAAGTTGGAAACTGCTTCTAAATATGCATGATCAGTGCATCAACGCATCAGTGAAAGGCCAATGAATGCAGAACGTGTTGTTCAGTTGCAGAAGCCAGTATCTCCAATGGTGTGATGCTGTGTCAGTATCCACTGATGAAGAGGGAAGATAAATGATGCAGAATCTCTAATGGAATATTAGAGTGACGTAACATGATGACTTAATAACTTCTGAATCATGGAATTACTTCACAAACAGCTGATTCTCATCACAAAAACCTGCTTTGTATATATATCCATTACCAAGAAGTGAATCAGCAGAAATCATATGATCCCAAAAATGAGCAACAAATAGTTTACATGTTGTTTTTTTTCTTCTAAATATACATAAACTAAACTTCTAATCACCGACTCTTCTGTCTGTCTTTCTATCACAGCATCACCGTGTGGAGGCATGCTGGATGCCAATGAGGCGGGTTACATCACCTCTCCTGGTTACCCCCTGGAGTACCCCCCACACCAGAACTGTCACTGGGTCATCACCGCACCAGAGCCCTCACAGCGCATCGTCCTCAACTTCAACCCACACTTTG